CACACACACACACACACACACACACACACACACACACACACAGCTAAGGGAGAGACTAATGAGAGGAGCGGAGACGTTTTGACATTGCGTTAGATGTTGCTGTTCAACATGAGTCTCAAAGCAAACCTAATGGGCACTAGCTTAAAAGGGAGCGCAAATCAATGACTAGCTAAGTGAGGAAAAAAGAAGGAACACTTGGCCTATTTAAACTAAGCACAGCTAGCTAAAGTCTATGCAATATTTAAAGTCCGTTCATTTATGCAGTTTCTTCCTATCAATGAAATCTACAAACAGCCATTCAAACTAATGTATATCACATAATGTGCACGTCTGGCAAAAGGAGTCCAAAACAAGCTTCACACAGATACGAAAAACTTACATAAAGTGTGTTACTAAAGTGTCACGCTGCCAATTGCCACCAGAAGAGCTTCGCTGTGCCATGGCACAAATTCTCTGAAACTCTACTGGAGAGATGAAACACACTTCTTCCAAAGATACTCCCACATTTGGTGATGGAGACTGCATCTAACACGCTGAACCCAAAATCTTCCAAAAGGTGTATATCTGGCTTGAAATATTGTGGCTACAAAGGCCACACCATATGATTCATATAATTTTCATGCTCTATGTCCCCTTGTGCCCCAAGGAGGAGAGACTGTCATGCTGCAAGAAACAACCCATACCAGGTAAGAAATATTTCTTCACTAGAGGTGGTCACTCATAGCCAACACAATGCCCTGCACACCACATAGCACGCCCCTGGACGCCCTTGCTGTAGGTATAAATGTTCAGGTTTTTCCTTTAATTTGTCACCCTACACAATTCAAATGACTATTACTTTTTAAAGTTCTTTCTAAGTACCTCAACAAATCTGATTTTATATTAATGCCAGATTTTATTAAGTTAACAGAGCTTCTCTCTCATGTTATTAACTCCCACTCCCTCTCCTTAACGCTCTTAATGTCCGATAATTTGAAAGCTCAATCCACCCCGTGAAGGGATTGGCAAAATAGCAGATCTCCAGTGGATGCTGTTGCATTTCCCAGCTGCCAACAGAGCAAAATCAATATTTTATCATGCAAACCCAAACTCTCTTGTCCAGCGGTGCCTAATAAACAATCCTGGGCATTCAGTGATATATCATGATGCATGCGTAGGAATAAAACAGCAACAAGACTTTCAAAACAAAGTTAGGCAGCTATGAGACCAAACAACACACACACACACACACAAATGGATTTCTATTATACTTGTATTCATGCACAGCCATGTAAAATGTATATGAAATCAGGATACCATATTTACTTGACGCACCACCACCACACACACACCCCACCCCCCAACGAAACTGTTCAGCATTAATCCAGCCCCAAACCAAACAGGATAGTTCTGTTGTGCAGAAAGAAAACACCAGCTAGCGTTTAAAGATTTAGTCTTCCAAGACCACTGAGAATAAAACAGACATACTTGGGTGATAAAGCACACTTGTGCAGCTCTACAGTACAAAGCGTATTCTTCAGTGTAATTTTCTGTCACCTTACCTGGCTGCTGAATAAGGCCGGGGTTGCAGTTTTGGCAAATGCTCTGAAAGGCAAGCACAAATGTCAATCACCGCGCTGTCTTGCTAAGATTTGGTTACGCAGTCAATCACCACAGAGAGGAGACGAATTATGTGAAAGTCATTTCGGTCCATTGAAACGTCCTACCTACCAATCTATCCTCAGTAACCCCCCACCCAGGTTACAGTCTTGTTTCTAGGACACACTTCTATATTTATGAAATTACAAACTCAGGGTTATAGAATCCCAAGTGTCCAGATGTGGCGCCAGTAGGAAACAGATTGCTTATGCAGACCTTATTTCAATGCCAGCCATGAAGGTGCCCTCTTTTGGGTAATATGTCGCACACATTGTATATGCGAGGAGGTGTCAGTTACATCGAGAAAACTTTTTTTTAAGAGTTTGAGATAACTTTTTTACCTGACAGCAACAAGATATGCCATTCTCTATCCAGTGCCCAGCACCACTGATTAGACGCTGGCAAAGAGAGAGATTGAGAGTTGTGCGACGTGCTTGCTGTGCACTCGCTACATTTTATTTGTATCTCGGTGATAGATGAAGCCGGACAAGTAAAGCACCACCATATGTACCAGCTGAGGCTGTACAATAACACATTTTTCTGCTAAATTGCCAGAGAAACAAACAGCTGGTCTAAATCTGCTCTCTCCTCTCTTTCTGGATTTCTCTGACATCTAAACAGCTCAGAGGTTTCAGAGAGACAGCTCCGCACTTTGACGTCCATTTCATCTCTTTGCGCTGAGATATTTTAAACAAACGCAAAGGCTTTGCTGAAACAGCAGTTAGCTACTAATAATTTATCCACATACCCTCAGACACTGAAAAGACCAACAAAACTGAAAAATAAAAACAGGGCCAGGGGCTAACATCAGTTTTAGACAGTAAAGAACAGTCGGCTAATAAAATAAACGAAATAAAAGCAATGCACATGTTTTTTAATACATTTCCTAAGAAAATAAAGATATTTAATACTTGGTTGCGATTGGGTTTTTAACCACTTTAAGTACAGTGAGTACAGTGAAGTCGTTGTCATGTTTGGGAGCCCAGTTTGGGATGATTTGAGTTTGTAACATTGTGTTATCCTGCTGGAGCAACAATAAGAAGATGGGTACACTGTGTTCATAAAGGGACAGACATGTTCAGCAACAATACTCAGGTAGGCTGTGCTGTTCAAACAATGCTCAGTTGGTGCTTAGGGGTCCAAAGTGTGCCAAGAAAATATCCCCCACACCACTACAACACCTCCAGTAGGGTAACCAGCACCCCAAAGGCAAGATGGATCTATACTTTCATGTCGTTTACACTAAATTAAATCCGAATGCTGCAGCAGAAATTAAGATTCATCAAACCAGGCAATGTTTTTTCAATTTTCATTGCCCAATTTTGGGGAGCCTGAAAACCGCACCCTCAGTTTCTTGTTCTTAGCTCCCAGAAGTGGCAGCCAGCGTGGTCTTCTGCCGCTATAGCCCATCTGCGTCAAGGTTCAACATGTTGTCGATCCAGAGTTGCTCCTCTGCATACTTTGGTTGTTCTTAGTGGTCTTTTGAGTTACTGTTGCCGTCCTATCAGCTCGAAGCAGTCTGGCTATTCTCCTCTCACTTCTGTCATCAACAAAGCCTTTTCACCCAGAGAACGGACGCTCACTGGATAATTTCTCATATTTGTACCATACTCTGTAAACTCTAGAGACGGCTGTGTGGGAGAATTCCAGTAGATCAGCAGTTTCTGAAATACTCGGAGCAGCCAGTGTGGCACCAAAAACCGTGTCACGTTCAAAGTCACTTAAATCACTTTTCTTCCCCATTGTGGTGATCGTGTTAGCAGGTTGTCTTGATGATGTCTAAATGTCTGAAGGCAGTGAGCTGCCGCCACGTGATTGGCTTATTACATATATCCATGAGCGAGCAGTTTGAAAGATGTACCAATGAATGTGTAAGTATGTCTGTGGCTGAAGAAATGTAATTGTTTCATGACCTGCCATCTTAGTGAAGCATTGAATTATTTCCACTATCACAGAAAATCAGATGTGTAAAGAAAACCTGGAAGATTAGGTTAAAAAGAGTATTTTATGGGGAAAACATATTCTTTTCTTTGATGTAAATTTAACTGAAAGGGCAGTTTTGCATGTCAGTATTTGAAAAGCTGCATAAATATACTCAATAAAGAGATTCCTTGTTATATATTTGAAGTCGGAGAAATAGCAGTGTCTTGTATTTCTCTTTGAGATGCCTCCAATATCCAGCACGACTCATAATATTAAAACTAGCCGGAGCAAAGAGGACTTATATTCTGAAAGAAGTCCAAATGTTTCAGACTTAGAGGCTTAAAATGTATTAACGTATCACAAGGTGAGCCAAGATTACAGGACGGCCTTGTTTAGTTGTAATCAATGTGCATGTACTGGAGATACAACCCACAGTGAATCATCTGTAAATAAATCTTTAGAGATAATTAGAGCTACGCTGCACCAGAATGGATAAATAAATCGTTCCTGTTTTTAAAGTTTCTCAAAAACCAACAGTGAGTTGCTGCTTAATGGGACAAATCCTCACATACAAAATATCTGAGGATCCTTTCAGTCGGTGCAAGTGTACACCTCTCCATCAGAGGGTGTATCGTGTATGTTAGCGCTATCCTCCACAGCTGTGCAGAGCTTGAGTTGCTGCCTTTCTATCACAGAGTGACAGCACATGTCTGAATCAGAGGACAATCAATCCATCATCTCGCATCACTGCGCTGCAATGATACTGGTGGTAGATACAGAGGATGGATCACTTTTAAAACCCTCTGAATGCAAAGCTTTTTTGTCGCAGTCAGTGGCTCGAAGATACATTTTTAAATATGTAATCCAAAAAAGGCTTAAGAAAAGAAAAAAAAAAAGCACAGTCCCAAGATCCCCACTATGTTTTCAGCGGTATCATCGATCATAGTGCACAACAATATAATCTATTTCATCTCAAAAGTCTCGGTGCTGCAATTTATATGCAGAGGTACCATTTTAGTAGAATAAATGAGATAGAAATGTGGTTGCACATAAAAGTATATACTTCTCGAGATTTATGGAGAGTTTCTTTGGCTGTGCATGGAATTAGAGAAGTTGTTAGCATTAAGGCGTTAAGTGAAATTCTCCTCAGGAAGGTTTTTGCAGTTTTTAATAGCCTGCAAATGCTAATTTCAAGTTATTTCTGAACGAAGGACCTGCTAGCTCATGGTTTTCCGAAACCATTTAAACATTTTCTGTGGCGTTTTTATTGCGACTTAAGTGAATAAAGTGGGAATAGAAGTGATAAGCAATCAGTTCTCTGTGGCCAAGAAATTTCATTTTAAATTTAATGCTTTTCCTCAAAACAGAAGGGCCAATAACCTCTTGGGATACAGACATATTCCCTTTACTTTACTTTAGTGAGGATTATTTTGTTCTGCAAGTTTAAGTCCAGCAAAAAAGTAAAAGAATAGAAAAGAAAACTGCACCTTGGTACGATTTCATTTGAGGTCTGCTGTAAAGTAATTGAAAAAGATGCTCATGGACAGCATTTAGTTCCCAGGGGCTTTGACCCCAAAGTTTTTATCTAACACTCTGTACGAATCAATGAACTATCAACACGACATCTGGCTCTGAAAAGTGGGCATCTTTCTCAATTTAGACCCAGCATCTACTTTTGTAACCAGCCTGCACTTGGCCAAAGACATGTGGGTCCAGAGACATCTCTCCTCATTATTTACACTTAGTGTAAATCAGCCTAAACCCTAATCAGCAAATGCCTCCCCTTCAGTTGAGGTAATGAACCAAGAACACTGCAAAAATACAGCAGTGTACTTTAACAGCGACACCCTGAGTCAGAGTTTACCATTAACCTATGATCCAAACTGACCCTGTGCATTCGTGTCCTTGCAAAGCTCAGTGGTTTACCAGTATACCAAATAACAGCTGCTGCCCTGAGGGGTCTGCAACGCCGCATTCTTCACGAGGGCACGGTTGTCCCCGTTGCCAATTTCTGCATCAGTTCACCAGAGTAAAAGGTGCTGTGGTTGGCAAGTAGGCCTAAAATAGCTGACATTGGGGTAGGCCAGGAGCTGTGACACAGCTGTTTTAGAGGACAGCTCAACTTGTATATGAAGCTGCAGCCAACTAATTTCACTGTCTGCTAAGTTTCAGTCAAAGCTTATTAGATCTATACTGAATGAATGACCAGCCAACTATCTTAATGAGCTGAAAGGAAAATGTTAGTTTCTTACCAACAGTTCACACCAAGGGTCAAAAAAAAGGAGACGATAGGTGGCAGACAGCAGGGGAAAAAAATCATCAATATTATTAGCACAATGCGAGATCATGGATAAACTTCTAAATATATATCTTGACTTGATATATATCGTTATATTTACAAAAAACTGGAAACAAAACAATATTGGAGCTGCAGATTTTAAAATGAGACGAGGAAGTGAGCGTTGACCCTTTGGGGAGCCTCTTGATGCCCTCTCTCTGACTGTTAGGTATAATTAAATGCTCTGACCAAATCAACCATGAGCCTGTGCTCACAGAACAGTGCTTTACTAAGGCTACAGTGACCCCTACTGGATGAAAATGATCCAGTCAGACAAACTGAATCACAAAACACAGAAGGCAGGCGCGACAATAACACGAGGTGTTATTAAAAGTGAAATAAATAGTTCTCAAACAAATAATTCCACTGACACTTAGTGCGGGTGCAGTCAAAATCCCACTCTCACGTCAATCACTGTAATTCTCCTTTTCTTTAAAGCAAATTGAAAACTTGTTTTAATTAAACATGCAAGTTTGAAAAAAAAATGCAATGATTTTTTTGAAGACACTGGAAAAATCCAAAACATAAAATATTCTTATCTATGATAATAGGTTAAAATTATGACTAAAACTGATTTTTATCACACTGTGTATTTTAGAGAGACTTTCAGAATCCCCATTAAAACCTGGAAAAGATCACTTTATCAATGATGATTATACGCTCTGTTAGTCGGTGGAAAAAAACAGAAATTTTCTGTCTGAATGAGCTAACAGGTGGGAGTCTGACCTATAAGGAGGCTGAGAGGAGGTGAGCAGGATGGGAAGGCTGTAAGAAGCTCCAAAACGCTGAGGCTCGGGTCTCTCACATACAGGTTGTAGTCTGCAGCACCTTGTTTACTGCAGAGCTCCTGCAGTCTCCTCCTCTGCACGCTGTCCCCTGTATGCTCCACCAGAGCTCGCAGAAACGCCTGACAGAGACACAGAAATCAGATGCGCTGTCACCCGAAGCTGTTCTGCACCTCCGTCAGCCACAATTGTCGTGACTTTTACAAAAAGGAGAGCCAGCCACACTGTACACAAAGTCTGAAATCTAAACAGGTAGACCCTGACTCCAACCCCATTATGTAGTACAGCTATTTTAATATGCACAAAGCCATTTCTTCCACTACAAAATTATAATTTTCTTTTTTATATAAAAAAGAGAAAAAAAGGCCTTTAAGACGACTGAGAAACTAGCAGAGGCGAAGAAGCAATCTTTTAATTCTCAAACAAAGTCCTAAAAATCGATTAATGCAATCAATTACCCAGTTACATTTGCAGAGGACATGCTGCGGTTTAATCGGCATTTCATTCGTTTCATTAGCAACTGCTTGTTATTTTTATTGTAGGCAGCAATTAAAATAAAAAGATTAAAGGGATCACAAAGAAACATTAAAACGCTTCTGCTTAAAATTTAGTCTGCAACCATGAATCAATCAGATGCTGTAATCTGGACTTTAAGTATTTGTCAAGAAGTGCTCTGTATAATCTCAGTGATTCATTACAGCTTTGACTGCATGTATGCAAAGATTTGTGGCACGTTCTTCACTGCACTGGATCGAGTGTAACATTTTTCTCAGCAGAATTGGAGAATCGGGATGTACAGCTATATCTCCCTGTGTTTGATGCTGCTACACATAAGACTGGGAAGTCTCATTGCCAAAGAACCAGAGGTTATTATCTTTCCCGATCCTAAAAAAACAAAAAAAAACAGTGAAGCTTAAAAATTGCAGGCTTTAGTGAAACAGCTGAAGTGCATTACACAGGCAGGTGTTGTAAAATAAAACATTTACTGTCTTGTAAGTCTTTAAACAACACAGTGGCAGGAAAAAAAAATCTATTTCTGTGCAGGAATTTAATAGAGGAAGCTGTGAACAAAACGTCTATAAAGACTTCTGAGGGAACTGAACTGGGTGAAGCCGTTAACGTTTAAATGTTCTACATCTTTCTGACACTTTATCAATTTTTTGGGTGCAGTTCAAAAAGAGTCTTTAAATAAAATCCAAGCAGAATTCAATATATAATGGCTCGCTAACTTAATTCATGATTATGACAAAGCAACTTTTTATTGCACAGGGTTTTATAAGCGTGTCAGATATTTTGAAATGCTTAACGAGAAAAAGGAACCCATCCGTCTTTTTTCTTCCACTTATCCTATTCTGGGTTGCAAGATGGAGCAGTGGAGCCTATGCCAGATATCAAAAGGAAGAGGCGGGGCTGCTAGTTGCCAGTCTGTTGCAGGGCTAACACATAACACCTACAGTCAGTTTAGAATCATCAGATAACCTAAAATCTCTTTAGATGCCTTTAGACTGTGGGAGGAAGCTGGAGTACCTGGAGAGCGAGCATGCAAACTCAGACCCAAGACCTTCTTGCTGTGAGGTGACAATACCAACCACCGCTACTCCCAGAAAATGTAACCTTTTTAAATAAATGCAAACCTGTAGTGTGCGTGCATCATTAAATATAAATTGTGTTTTAAATGTTGTGCGATTTAAGGGTTTCAAAGGGAATCGAGCACTGGA